TTTAGAAAACCTATTAAGGCATCAGGTTTTTTAAATTATGGTAAAACACACACAACATGAAATTTATCATCTTAACCATTTTGAAGTATGCATTAACTACATTCACATGATTTTTTAAAAAAGATTTATAAAGGCACAGTGGCAGGGGGAGGGGAAGAGAGAGATAAAGAGGGAATCTTTCCCCAAAGGGCTGCAGCAGCTGAGGCTGGGTCAGGGGAAGCCAATAGCCTGGAACTCCATCTGGGTCTCCCACTCGGGTGCAGAGACTCAAGCACTTGGGCCATCCTCTGCTGCTTTCCCAGGTGCATTAGCAGGGAGCTGAATCAGAAGTGGAGCATCAGGGACTCAAACAGCATTCTGATATGGGATGCTACCTTTGCATGTGGTGGCTTAACCTGCTTTGCCACAAAACTGGTACATTCTTGTGCTGCCATCACAGGCACCCATTCATGGAACTCTTCATTTCATAAAATTGAAACTCTGTATCCATTAAAGAATCACTCCCTACTGGCCCTCCCTTTTAGCCTCCGTCTGAATCCTATAGTATTTGGAATATCACATAGGATAGTATAGTGGAATAATGCATTGTTTTGTGGCTGGTTTCTGTTAATGTAATGTCCTCAAAGCTCTTTCATGCTGGGGCATGAGTCAGAACTTCTGTTCTTTTTAAGGCTGAGTGAGTCCCATTGCATGCACATGCCGCCTGGTGTCTGCCCATCGCCCAGTGCAGGTTCGTCCTATCTTTTGGCGATTGTGAACACTGCTGCTGTGGACATAGGTGTGAAAATGCCTTTTGTGATTCCCCTCTAGTTTTCCTTTGGGGCTGGGGCTCCTCCCTCTCTTGGCTTCTGTGGTGCTGGCAGCACTGCCCCTCACCTCCTGTGGGCTCCCCAGCGCCTACCCAGACCTGCCCCACAACTCTCTTCCCCATGGCCTCGGTGGAGGGTGTGGCAGTAGGGAGGTGACCCAAACCAAGCCAGGCAGACTTGATTCTGGGGTTTTGGTTGGAACTGTCAGGAAGCCATCCCCTTTTCCATGGTGCTGCTGAGAGGGTCACGGGCACGCGTGACCTCTTGGGGGTGAATTTCACACCAAGGTGGAGGGGCTGAGGGAGTCACAGAGGGAAAGAGGTAAAGGGAGGCACACGCCCTGTGATGCCTGTCTGGGTTCCTGAACCCAGCCAGGAAAGCGAAGTCTCCCAGCCACAGGGACCAATTAAGGGCATCTTTTGTCCAAGTCCGTTTGACTTTGTTTTCTGTCTGCCATCACCAAAATACTCTGCCTCCATGTCATTCTGTGCCATTCATCATGAAGGACTTTGATGGAATAAAGGGGATTTGGAATGTTCCCTGCACAAAGAAATGATCAACATCTGAGATGACAGTTACCCTGATCTGAATGTTACACTCTGTTGACATGTACAGAAACACCACGCTGTACCCTACCAGCATGTACAGTTATCACATGTCAGTTAAAAAAATATATATATATTTAAAAATAAAAAACCCTAACATGCATGGCTAGGGTCAACAGACCTCCTTGGACCCAATAACTGGGCCTAGTGGAATTAGAGTAATCACTTTGACAAGTCTGCCCCAAGCCCACCTCTGATGGTAAATGGGGCATACACTGGTCTCCCCTTATCTGTGGTTCTGCTGTCAGCAGTGTCAGTTACTTGCAGTCAACCCAGGGCCATCAATATTAAATGGAAAATTCCAGAAATAATTCATAGGTTTTAAACTTCATGCTGTCTGAACAGCATAATGAAATTTTGAGTGGTCCTGTTCTTCCCACCTGGGAGGTGGAGCATGCCTTTGTCCAGGGGATCCACACTGCACATGTCCATTTGTCTCAAAGTAGCCATTCTGGTTCTCAGATCAACTGCTGTGGTAGCACAGGATTTGTGTGCAGGTAAACTTTGTTTTATTTACAGCTCCGAAGTGCAGGAGTAGTGATGTTAGCAACTCAGATATGCCAAAGAAAAGCTGTAAAGTGCTTCCTTTATTATTATTTTTAAATAAATAGAGTGCTAGCGATGGAAGGAGAGGCAGAGATTGTTTTTCCATCTGCTGGGTCATTCCCTAAATGCCTGCAATTGCGAAGGCTGGGCCAAGGCAAAGCCAGGAGCAGGAACTCCATCCAGGTCTCCCACGTGTGTGGCAGGGGCCCAAGCAGTTGAGCCATCATCTGCTGCCTCCTCCCATCATCTGGTGCATCAGCAGCAAGCCGGACTGGAAGCAGGGGCAGGACTTGACCCCATGCAGTCCAGTATGGGATGTGGGCATCCCAAGCTGGGGACTGACCTGCTATGGCACAGCATCCACCCCAAAGTCCTTCTTTAAATATCATCTCATATCATCACAAGAAGAAATGTGAGTACAACAAAATAAGATATCTTGAGAAAAACAGAGACAATATCCAGGTAACTTTTACTGCAGTATATTGTTTCAACCGTTCTCTTTTATTATTGGCCATTGTTCATCTCTACTGTGCCTAACTTATATATTAAGCTTTTTCATGGGCATATATGCATAGAAAAAAGCAGAGTATCTGTCAGGTTCAGTGCTGTTTGTGGCTTCAGGATCCACCAGGGGTCTTGGAGCCTGGTCCCCGTGGGTAAGTGGACCACAGGTAAGTGGGTAAGTGAGCAGGGTGTATTCTTCAAAAGGAGGAATTGACAGGGCTGGCTCTGTGCCATAGCAAGTAAAGCTACCACCTGTGACATCAGCATCCCACATGCATACCGGTACGAGACCCGGCTGCTCCACTTCTGATTCAGCTCCCTGCTAATGCACCTGGGAAAGCAGCAGAAGATGGCCCAAGTGTTTGGGCCCCTGTACCTACATGGAAGACCCAGATGAAGATCTTGGCTTCAGCCTGGCCTGGCCCTGGTCATTGCAGCCATCTGGGGAGTGGAACCAGTGGATGGAAGACCTCTCTCTCTCTCTCTCTCTCTCTCTAACTCTTTCAAGATCAATCTTAAAAAAAAAAAAAAGTGATGCCATATTGGAGAATGGAGCAGATATGCATTAACGAGAATGATCTCAGGGAGCTGAGGAGGGTGGCACCCGGGATAGGCCCCTTTTCTGTTCCTTTTCTTTCACCTATGCCTCCCTTCCATCTGGCTGATTACCTTCCAAGAAAACTGATCTTTACAGGATAAAGAAGAACAGCAAAGGATCATGATCAAATCCCATACAATGTTGTTATTATAAGGAAAAAGACAAGGAGGATAAAGTTTTTACAATAAATTCCATAACACATCCAAAAGAGTGACTTAGGATTCCTCAGGGATCTGGGAAGCTGGGCTTGAGAAATTCTAAACCAGGCCTGGTTTTGAATCCCAAGTCTGACTTTGGCTAAGTTAGGTATGCTTCCTCACAAAATCTTAGTTTCTGATTACAAAATGGGCTATATAACATTCATCATCACAGGGCTGTTGTGACTGACTCCTCTATGTGGGGTAAATGCAATTTGTCATCTCTACAGGGAAATTTTTGATGGTGAAAGTGAGTGTAATATTAGGGGACTCATCAGGTCTGCCTGTGATTTTAAAATAACATAGCATTTATAGTGCTCCTGGGCAGACACTCTTTGCAGTGGTTAAGACTGCTTAGGATGCATGCATACCCTATAGGGACTACTAGATTTGAGTCTAGCTGCACTCTTGATTTCAGATTCCTGTGATTCCACACCCTGAGAGGCAGCAGGTGATGGTTTTAATAATTGGGTCTCTACCACTCATGGGGTAGACTTGGATTGAGTTCTGGGCTCCCCAAATTACCCTGGCTAGGGCTGTGCCACGCCGAAGCCAGGAGCCTGGAGATTCATCAGGGTTTCCCACGTGGGTAGCAGAGGCCCAAGCACTTGGCCCATCTTCCACAGCTTTCCCAGGCCATTAGCAGGGAGCTGGATTGGAAATGGAGCAGCCAGATCTTGAACCACCGCCTATATAGGATGCCAGTGTCACAGGCAGCAGCTTAACTTGCTGCTCCACAAAGCAAGCCCCAGCAGTGCTGTTTCCACGCTCAAAAGTGTTCCTATACAGATGATAAATCACATGAGCTCACTGTCTATAACATATGTAACAGCACATGCTAAGTTTTAAAATTCTTAGTTTCTGAGCTTTCTACTTTAATATACTGATCTCCTTTGTTGTTCTTTGTAAGCCTCAGGCATTGTGGGGTCTGACTGTGTCCTGTGTCCTGTGTTGGGAAGTGAATTTCTGAGTTGACATGTGAATGAATGGTATCTGAAAGTGGGCCTTTGAGAGGTAATTAGGACTAGATGGGGTCGTGAGGATGGGGCTCCTAAGAGGGCATTACTGGTTTTCTAGTAAGAGTAAGAGATATTCAAACTAGCACGCTGGCTTTGTCTCACAATGTGACGTCCCCACCCACCCCGTGTTACGATGCAACATGAAGGCCCTCACCAGATGCCAGAGCCAAGCTTTTGGATTTCCCACGCTCGGTACTGTGAGGTAAAAACACAATCTATTCTGTACGAACTGTTGGTCTCAGGTATTTTTTTCCAGCCACAGAAAATGGATTAAGACACAGGGCACATTGTCCAAAGAAGTGTTATTGTTACTCTGGTGGCAAGAGACGTGATGATCTGATCCACGGGTTTCACATCTGTGCAAGAGCCTTCTAACAACCCTCTGACAACTGCTTTTAATCAACTGGCATTTGGAAAAGTAGAATTGACCTCTTAGAAAACAATTATTTCAACTAAAAGTCTTCTGTATATTAAAGTGGAAAAGATAAGACAGGTCACATCATGGCACTTACTTTATGACATTTTACTTAAACTTGAGCATTTGCTGATGCATTTGACTGTTAAAACTTTGTCAGTATTTTCCAAATTTGTTCTGAAACTAACAAGTGAAAGATATATACTATAATAAGGAAACACAATGCAATTTAAAAAAAGGCCTATGATTTGAACAAGCATTTTCTACTCACACAAAACATACACAGAAGACAAGAAGCACATGAAAAGAAGCCTAGAATCATTATTTATTGTGAAAATTCAAATTAAAACCCTAATGAGAAACCACTTCACATCTACAAGAATGGCTAAATGTAAAAAGGTTGACTATACCAATTGTTGGCAAAGAAGTACAAGAACAGGAACTCCCGTAGAAGCTGGGAATGTAAAATAGTACAACTATTTTGGGAAAAGTTTGGCAATTTTCTTTTAAGCTTTATTTATTTATTTGAAAGTCAGAGTTACACAGAGAGAGGAAAGACAGAGAGAGAGAGTTCTTCCATCCAATGGTTCACTCCCCAATTGGCCACAACAGCCGCAGCTGCGCTGATCCGAAGCCAGGAGCCAGGAGCTTCCTCTAGGTCTCCCACGCAGGTGCAGGGGCTCAAGGACCTGGGCCATCCTCCTCTGCTTTTTCAGGCCACAGCAGAGAGCTGGACAGGAAGTGGAGCAGCCGGGTCTCAAACTGGGACCCACATGGGATGCCAGCGCTTCAGACTAGGGTGTTAACCCACTGTGCCACAGCGCCGGCCCCGACAATTTTCATAAGTTAGACATAAACTTCTGACATCATCCAGCCATCCCTTTTGTAGGTATTTATCCAAAAGAAATGAAAGCATACGTCAATACAGACTGTACATGAACGTTCAGAGTTTTATAGATGGTCTTTGTCTTATGAAGGCATAACTTGTGATTCCCTGACTTTATGCTGGCGTGAATAACATTCTGAGTTTTCTATTTTTCCAGAGTAGTAATACGCAGTGTAGTACTCTGATACAGGAGGTGCCACAGTTCTCAGTCAGCCCCAGGTCTGATACTCAGACTATGAGTGATGATCTGCTATGGTGTTTGGTAGGTAGATGTATTAAATGCACTTCTGACTTATGATATACTCTGCTTTCTGATGGTTTATTGGAACGTAACACCAGAGTTACAGGGTCACAGTGTATATGTAATAGCCCCAGGCTGCAACCAATCAAAATGTTCATTAACAAGGGAAGGCATAAAACCACTATGGTGAATCCCTACAAAGAAATACATGCTAAAGTAATAAAAAAGAATGAACTAATGACATAAGCTATGATATCAGTGCATCTCAAAGTAATTTTGCTGAGTGAAAGAAGCCAGATAAAATATAGTATATAATGTGTGAGTCCATTTATATAAAATTTTAGGAAATACAAACGTATCCTGATATAAAGCACATTAGTAGTTGCCTGGTAAGGTGGCAGGCAAGGAGGGAGGGGATGAAGGGGTTACATGAGGAAAATTTTGTAGGTGATGGACATGTCCATTGTCTGGTTGTGCTGGTGGGTTTTATGGGTATATGAAGTGTGTATGCCTGTATCAAACAATGCTCTTTATGTATAGTTTGTGGTATATCAATTATATTTACATAAAGTTGTTAAAAATTATCCCCCTTTGGGCCGGCGCTGTGGCTCACTTGGTTAATCCTCCGCCTGTGGCGTGGGCATCCCATGTGGGCGCCAGGTTCTAGTCCCAGTTGCCTCTCTTCCAGTCCAGCTCTCTGCTGTGGCCCAGGAGGGCTGTGGAACATGGCCCAAGTGTTTGGGCCCCTGCACCCACAATGGGAGACCAGGCAGAAGCACCCGGCTCCTGGCTTCAGATCAGCGCAGTGCTGGCCATAGCGGCCATTTGGGGAGTGAACCAATGGAAGACCTTTCTCTCTGTCTCTCTCTTTCTCACTGTCTATAACTCTACCTGTCAAATAAATAAATAAATAAAAATTATCCTCCTTTTTAACTTTTATTTTTATTTAGTTGAGAGTCAAGGAGGGAAAGAGAGAGAGCTTTCCTATCAGCCAGTTCATTCCCCAAATGCCTGCAATAGCAGGTGCTGAACCAGGCCAAAGTTAGCGCTGGGAACTCAATCCAGGTCTTCCACATGGGTGGCAGCAACCCAATTACTTGACCCATTAGGGATGCCTCCCTGGGCCTGCAATGGCAGGAGGTTGTAATCTGGGGGCTGGGTCTCAAACCCAGGTACTATGAATTGAGATGTTGGCACTCTAATTGGCACCTTAACTACATGGCTAATCACCTGCCCCCAAAATAGCACAAATTCTGCAGGTTTTCCTTATTACTTATTCCTAAAGAGTGAGTTAAATTAGAAATGAATGCAGTCTCTAGAGTACCAATGGAATCCAATAGGACCAACGGTCCTTCAAATAGTAAATTCCAGTGGTGGTGTCCAAAAGAGTTTCCAGTACGGAAGTGCACTTCGTAGCTGAGCTACCATTGCTGCTGTCCATCTTCAGAACACTTCCATCATCTCAAAGTGAAACTGGACTTGTTAGATAACTCACATTAAACGGTACAATTCCCATTTCCATGACAAACTGAATACAACTCTCGAACACTCTATAAGCAATGACCTCTGGGCAGATGTAGTAGCTTTTCTTTACTAAAACCAAACACTTAGCACAGGCTACTTACCAAACACAGAGGTTGATTTGGGCTCTCATGGTTCTTCATGGCTACAGCCCAAGACCAGGCCAGCCCCAACGGTTTGGCAGATGGCAGTGCCAGAGTGTGTGGGGAGGAAGGAACACACAGCAAGCTGGCAAGCAGAAAGTGTGACTAGGCCGGGCTCTGCTTTTATAACCAGTCCTCTTCTAGAACTACCTTCAGGCACGCCCTCAAGGCTAAGGACCGCCCACCAGGGCCGCCTCCCAGACACCATTATTGGATGGAGTCTCCACTCTCAGTCCCATTAACTGCATGAGTTCACACCTACATCTTGTTCACCCCAAGGCAGCAACTTCAGATGATTTTGTCTATTTCTCTTCTGGCTGTGGTGCAACAGAGGCAGTCGGGTGTAGATGGCTGCAGGAAAGCTCCAAGACTGGGCACTGTGATTTGTCCTCAGATCTGGCTGCTGTCTCTCACACTAAAGAAAAGTGGGTGAAATCTTGTGCATGAGACACTGCCACTGCCACCCTACTGGAAAAACAGCCCGAGCTGCCTGCCACACCAAGAGTGGGTCGATTGTGTCATCTTTGTGTAGGAAGAATGACCTAATTGTCATATCACCTGCAGAGTAAGTTAGCAAATCCTTTATAAATCTCACTCTCCTCCTAAATGTCATCCCCCATTGTCACTGGGAAATCTTCACAAAATGAGTAGCTTTTGTGTATGTCTTGCCTATATTGCCTTATTTATTTCATGCCAGGGTGGTTCAACTATGATGAGATTTTTTTGGTTTTTGGTTCCTCTTCTCAAGCCGGTTGGCCCACGGAGCAGGTGGCTGGTGTTTGGCAAGCAAAGCTCTCACACCGGGCTCTCAGGGATTGAAACTTGTCCTGAAAGTGGACCCCAAAGTGATGGCAAGAGGTGAGGCTGTGGAGGCAGCCCACCCCTGGACAGGATGCTTAGGTCTCTGAGCTTTTTCACCTCTGAAACGGACAGGGGGTCTACCTGATAGTCGTTTTCCGGGGGAGTACATGATGCAACGTTTGGTGGACGGCTAGGCTGGGCCAGCGGCAGGAGCACAGGCAGGTGACAGTGTCTGCTTTCGGCTCCTATCAGATGACCGCAGCGGCGGTAAGAAACCAGAAGATGAAACCCACCTCTGGTCTGAAATGCTCATCTCCGCACAAAGGGCTCCAGTTTCAAAATGAAAAGAGCGACAGCCGCCTGGGTTTTGGGACCAGCAGAGTTCCGGATTAGCGTCGTTTGCACAGAAAGGGCTGCGAATCCAGAAACGGACTTGAAGGGTCTCAGGCTTTGCCATGGGACACTCCCCAGTTTCTTCCGCACGCCATTTAGAGGCTGAGGCTGAGTGAGCTCGAATTTGGCCCAAAGCCTGGGCTGCTCCCGTGGCGGCGGCGGCGGGGTGGAGGTGAGCTCGACAGGTGTGCAAGGTGTGTGAGGCAGGGAGGAGCAGGTGTCGGTGGAGGTCCCTCACGGTGGACTCCAGCAGCGGGTGGGGAGGCCCCACCCCGCGTCCGGGCGCCCCCGGCAGGGAAGAAGGCGGCAGGTCAGCCCTGGTGGGCTTCCTCTGCCCGCTGAGTCCAGAGGCGCGGAGAGCGCCTGGAGGCGGACGTGAGGCTCCCGAGCCCGGGAAGCCCCCAAACACCGGCCAGAGGCCGACGCCCAGTGCCCCGGCCGGGTCTAGGGGAGTGGCCGCCGCGCCGCGGGTCCGGGTGGCGTGAGGCGGGGGCGGGAGCCCGGGACCCGCGCGGGGAGGAGCGCCGCCCCCTCGCCGGAGAGGCGGGAGAGGGCGGCCCTCCATTGGCCGGGCGCGTCGGCCAATCCCTGAAAACCCCGGGGAGGCGGTGGGGGCAGTGCGTGCGGATCCGCGGTGCGGGCAGCGAGCGAAGCGGCCAGCGGGGCTCCGGAGCGCAGCGCGACGCTCTGCGGACCCAGTCGGACCGAGCCGGACCGAGTCACCCAGGCACCGCCTGCGCCCCGCCGTCGCGTCAAGGGCGTCTCTCGCGCCGCCCCAGGAGCGAGCTCCGAGCATCCCCCGCGGCGGCCACTCCTCGGGGCCAGGAGGGGGAAGCCGAGTGCGACAGACTCCGGGACCCCAGCGCAGCCCCTTTTCGCCTTCCAAGCCACCATGACCCACTTCAACAAGGGCCCTTCCTACGGGCTGTCGGCCGAGGTCAAGAACAAGGTACGCCCGGGCTCGGGTGGGCCGGGGACTCTTGGGCCAGGGGTGAGGGACGCAGCCCAGGCCCCCGCCGGGCGGAGTCGGCGTTGGGCCGTGCTTTGCTCCCGCGCGCCCTGGCTCCATGGTCCGGCGGAGAGGAGGAGGCGTCGGGGCGGCTCGCGGGTGGCTGGGCGTCTTCGGCGCGCCGCCTCCCCGGGCCCGGGGCGCCGGCTCCCGATCGCTCTCCTGGCTTTGTTCCCGGCTTTCTAAGGGCCGGGACTAGCGGCGGGCGGTGCGTTCCCGGGCGCCCGGATTCCCGCAGCGCCGAGCTCTCGGGCTGCAGGACGCGCCCCTCGGGGAAGGGGGCGCTCCTGTCTGGACGTTCTCTCCCTAGGCGGGGCTGGCCCGCGCGCCGGTGTCCCGCGGGTCCCAGGGCAGCCCCGCCGTCCGCCTGGGCTGGGCTCCGGCCCGCGGGCGCGCTTTCTCCCCCTGCTACACTGCGCGGGGAGCCGTTAGGCAGTTACGTGGCCACACCGGGGTTCCTTATTGTTCATCGCCGCCTCTCTGGGAGGGGGACCGCCGAGGGCTCTACCGACCCCTGAGACCCTGGGCAGCGTCCAGTTGTCGGCGCCCGCAGGCAGCCGCTGCTGCGGTGCGGGGATCCCAGACAAAGCCCGAGCGCGCCGCGTTGGGAGTGATAGCGCTGGGGACCCTCGGAGACTTAAGCAGCGTGCCGGGGAGTTCGCAGCCCATTAGATTCTCAAGATACCCATGGGCTGCTTTTGTTTAGGGCTTGTTTGCTGAGTGGCAGTTTGGAGAGTGGTAGACATTTGGGGACGCTCAGCTTTGCCATCGAACGTTAAGAATGCGTTGGGTTTATCTTTGGGACTTTTGGCCTGGGAAAGAGATGAGAGGCGTCCCCCTCCCCAAATCCTCTCCTTCCTTCCTCCCTCCCTGCATTCCAAGCCCATGACATCAGGGGTTTCTGGGGGGAGAGACCAGCCAATCGGCGCGGAACTGCGCACAGACCGCTCATTGTCTCCTCTCTGCTGTTCCGGCCCGAGCGCCACAAAGGAGGCTGCCGCGACTTCATTCCCATTAACCTCCCGGGAGCCGTGGCCCGCTGGGATCGCTACCGCACCGGCCCGCCGCTGGCGGGGCGCCCTGGCCGGGTCGGAGCCGGCACATCCCGGGGTTGCGGGGACGCGGTGCGGAGAGGCGTGGAGGTCCTGCAGTGCCTTGGGGCAGAGATGTGGCCGTCACCTTACATACAGCCTTTGAAGCAAGGAGTTGATTTCAGTCTGCACAGCTAAAATGGAAAGGTTGAAGTCCTCTCCCTTTCCAAATGTGTTACCCAAGTTAGAAAATAGTTTCCGGAGCCTTTTTTTTTTTTTTTTTGACAGGCAGAGTTACAGAGAGAGAGAGAGAGAGAGAGAGAGAAAAGTCTTCCTTCTGTTGGTTCACTCCCCAAGTGCCGCCACGGCCGGCGCTGCGCCGATCAGAAACCAGGAGCCTGGAGCTTCTTCCTGGTCTCCATGCGGGTGCAGGGGCCCAAGCACTTGGGCCATCCCCCTGAGCACCTTTTTAAAGAACAGAAAGGTGGTTTGTATGTGAGGTTGAAATCCAAGCCACACCACCTGACAACTTTGCTGCAAAGCACGGTTCCATCCCTTCTGTGGCTTAGGTTTGTGAACCCTAGAGGCGTTTGTGAGGAATAAGCACGTCCTAAAAACCCTGTCCTGGCTTGGGGCGTTCATGGAGAAACGCCCCGTGACTCCTGGCTGGCATCCCTTGAGTCTCTTTACCTTTTGCATTGTAAATGAGACACTGATAACCTTGGCAGCCCTTCAAGTGACTGACTTTCCTGAGATGACAAGATCCATGCTAACTTTCTTTTTGCTGACTAATGTGTGGAGCAGCTTCTGTCCTTTTCCTACTTAACTGAGCAGACACAAGGAGGTGAATAGTCTGAGGCCAGCTCACAGCAGTAAGACAGTAAAACCTCAGCCTTCGAAAAGTTAGTTACAAAGCCTGTGGGCTTGTCCCTGGAAGTACCTAATCTGGTTTTTAGTCGCCCCTTTTGTGGTTACGTGGTCTTTTCATGCAGTATTCTTCCATAGCAAAGCTTTTGATCGGCAGAGCAGAGCTACCCTGTGAGGGGGAAGGGTGGCTGGGATGATCCAGCCTCCTCTGCAGATGGGGTGCTGCAGCTCAGAGTGAGATCTGCCTACGGTCACAGAGGAGGTTGGCTCATCCTCAGAATTTCAACCCCTGACAACAGTGCCTTCGGAGAAATCGCTGTTGCATTTTTGCTACCCTCCTGTCACTCCCTGACATTGTGATTATTCATGTAATGCTGTTTCTCATCTGTTCTGGACTTGGAATTCAGACATCAGTGTCTGTCGGGCCTCTGTGTGAGACTGCCTTTGGACGGAGGGCCCAGGACTGACAGATGAGGAGGATGGGTGGATGGAAATGTGAACTTAGACTTTGTGGGGTTTGATTCCTCCCTACTTTTTCTTTAGGAACTGTGTAATTGATACCTTGATTAAATGTTAGGGTTTTTTAATCCTTAATCCTTTTGTAACAGAGTAGAAAAAATATTAACAGCCTGGGGAGGCAGTGTGGCATGAACTCTGAGTCAGGCACACATTGGTTCTAGTGCCCACTCCTCCATGGGCTGTCTACCAGTATGATGTTGGGCTTGCCACCCCTGTCCTTCTTTCCTAAACTGTCATGTGGAGAAATAACAGTTACTCATCCCCATCTTCTGTAAAACTTCATTGCTGAGATGCGTCTGACTTAAGTACCTAGTGCCTATTAGCTCCTAATAGTAGAAAATACATATTGAGGGGCTGGTGCTGTGGTGTAGTTCAAGTCCTGACCACTCTACTTCTAATCCAGCTTTCTGCTATGGCCTAGGAAAGCAGTAGAGGATGGCCCAAGTCCTTGGGCCCCTGCACGCATGTGGGAGACCCAGAAGAAGCTCCTTGCTCCTGGCTTCGGATCGGCCCAGCTCTGGTGGTTGTAGCTATTTGGGGAGTGAACCAGTGGATGGAAGACCTCTCTCTCTGCTTCTGTCTTTATCTAACTCTGCCTTTAAAAAAAAAAAAAGAAAATATATATTGGCATTATATTTATTAGATTTGTATGTCCCTGCCTCTTTAAGTATTCAGTTTGTTTTAATAAACATTTAGTCTTTTTTTTTTACTTTGTCCGCGGAAGTCATTCATCAATGGATTTAGAAAGTCTTTGATCTTAAGTGTTTATAGCCAGTAAAATTCTAGGAAAAAAATCCTTAAGATACTTGTTTGGTGAGATAATACCTGGCAGATCAGACAGGTGTTTTTTTGTTTTTAACAGGCAGGAAGATGTTTGAAATCAGCCAAAAAAAAAAAAAAAACACCAGACTCCTTGATCCTGGAATATCAGCAGTCTTTCTTAATAAGAACAAAAGGATCAATAACTTGCCATCTACAAAGAACCATAACAGGGCCAGGGAAAAAGGAGGAGCTGCTGGCGATGGATCAGTGGAGGCTGCAAACACGTGGAGTGCTGAGGTCTGACCTGTCTCACACAGGTTGAACCAGCCTCTGAACGCATCTTGCAGGCTGAAGTGAAAGAGGAAGCAGCTCTGTGTCTCATAAGCCATGAAAAAACAAGAGGTCCCCCAGGGAAGCAGGGCGTTTCCTGACACTGGGCTCTGAGCTCCATGCTGGAGTCAGGGTAGTTTCCGATAATGATGAGGATGTGATGAAGCGCGCCCTCAGCGGGCCTGGAGCCAATGCTGCAGGGAGATTCCTCCCCCCACCTCCCCCTTTCCTCCTTTGCTCATTCCTTCCTTTCCTTTCCTTTCCCCTTGCTAGATTTACTTACTTACCTGAAAGGGATAGAGACAGAGAGTTATCTTCCATTGGCTGGTTCACTCCCTAAATGGCCACAACTGCCAGCACTGGGCCAGGCTGAGTCCAGAAGCCTGAGCTCCATCTAGGTCTCCTACATGGGTGGCAGTGGCTCAAGCACTTCCCAGGTGCATTAGCAGGAAGCTGGATTGGAAGAGGAGCAGCCAGGACTCAAACTGGGACTGCAGTGTGGGATGCCATTGTAACCTGCTGCACCACAATGTTTGCCCGCTCTGGGAACTTTGCTTACAGGTCTGGGGGAGCCTAAAGGGAATAAACTGGGGGGTGTGGAGGAGATACATTGGGGGTAGGAAGTGTCGGGCAGGGAGCTAGCATGATCATCTTACCTCAGTACAGTTTTGAAGAGGAGGCTAATTGAAAGAGTGAAAAAATGGAAACGTACATTCTTGCAGCCTTCTGTTCCCATGGCGTGTCTAATTTGGGTAAAGTAGCTTCTCAGAGCTCCCTTGCCTGTAAAATAGTATTCCTCAGCAGCTAAAGACCGTTTTAGAAGACTTACTGCTCAAATCCAAGTCACTGAAGAGTAAACCAAACCACCTTAAAAGGGACCTGGGGGTCCTCCCAGCCAATCTGCCCAGCGCCCTGTGGACAAGCAGCTGCTCTAAGGTGCCCTGATCAGAATAACTCAGGGTAGCTCCAGCTCCGAATTCTGCCTTTTGGTGGTCTGCATGTCGGCTGCTGCAGCTCTAGAGCCTTGGTAAAGAGGTGTAGATGGCTTTAGCTTTTGTTTGTTTTTTAACATTAAAGTTTAGAATTAGATTTTTAGTTAACAACTTTATCATCTCTTTTCACCAGAGATAAGGAATTCTATTATTTACCCATATAGCTTATGATTTATGTATTTTTAAACTTTCTGTTATTTGGGGGAGAGAGAAAAAGTAAAGAGAACTCGAACCTGCTGATTGATTCCCCAGGTGCCTGCAGCACAGTCCAGGTCTCCTGTGTGGGTGGCAGGAACCTAGGTTTTGAGGCATCACTCCTGCTTCCCAGGATCTGCATTCGCAGCAAACAAGTCAGGAACCAGAGCTGGGCATCAAACCCAGGTATTCCACTGTGGGACGTGGGCAGCCCAATCTGGATTTCTTTTTTTTCTTTTTCTTTTTTTTTTTTTAAGATAGATAGATTTATTTATTTATTTATTTATTTGAAAAGCAGAGTTAGAAAGAGAGGGAGAGGGAGATAGAGAGAGATCTTCCATCTGCAAGTTCACCCCCAAAATGG